AATACGGCACGAAAACTTCAAGTTCACTTATTAAGCTTGCTCATTTTCATAGAGACAAAGGCTTACACAAGCCTCGTAAAAAAGTACTTTAAAATGTATAAATTACGATTGTAATGAATTGTGTAACGTGTTTCTATTTTTAGGTACATTTTCTCCTGTTCTAATTATGCACCGGTGATAATCACCAGTGGTGATAGATAGCAAACTTCTATTTTATTATAGAAAAATTATAAATATCTCTTGTGAGATACATATAAATTATATATCTCCCACAACTAAATTCATTTAAAGTAAATTAGAGTTTGTATTAAAGTTAGTAGTACCTATAGTAAAATTGCTCAAGAAAATGATTTTTGAAAAAACAAAAGTTTGTTTTGATCTTTGTAATTGTACTATATTACACAAAATTCTGACTCATTATTGGGCAATTCATAGAAATATGTATTTTCAGCAGAAGATATCTAAAACTACCCTTTATTATAAAATACGTATTTTTCTTATCACTATTAAAAATATATATGACATTAAACACAACTATTGTAATTTAGTAAAACTAAAAAATAAAAAAAAATTAAAATTAAAAAGTAAAAAAATAAATTTTTTTTAGAATAAGTCAAGAATTACTATATTATTTTGTTCTAATTCAACTGATTTCCACAAGATTCACCTGTTAGTTATCAGTTTTTCTAAAAAACTATAATTTTTTAATGGTATAAATCTATCACAATTACCAGTTAACTATTAAAACAATAAATAAGTATGAATAAGAAGTGATATATAGAAAAAATGGTTGAAGTTTATTGATACTGGCTTTCATATCTAAGATAGAAAGGTTTACTTCTGGTCAATAATATACTTTCTCATATGATATCAAAGAAAACCCAAACTCCCAGTGATGATAAAGAATCTGAAAAACCTGAAGAACCCAAAAAATCTAAAAAATCTAAAGAACCTGAAGAACCTGAAGAACCCAAAGAACTCAAAGAACTTGAAAACCCCGAAAAAGCTAAAGAATCCAAAAAGCATAAAAACTCTGAAAAGCCAGAAAAATCCAAAGAACCAGAATTTTAAAGAAGATCTAAGAAAAGATCATAAGAAAGGCTATAAAAAAGGCTATAAAAAAGGCTACAAGAAAGGCTATGAGGAAGACTACAAGGAAGGCTTTGAGAAAGGCCCAAAAAAGATTATGAGGAAGGTTCTAAAGAAGGTTCCAAAAAAATCTAAAAAATATATTTTAGATTATTTTTATCTAACAAATATTACTGTGCACTTTCTCCTATCTAATATGACTACACATCTATAACCTATAGACACTAGTATAATAAAATATTTCAAATTGAAGTATAAAAGGCTCTATTGCTATTACTTGTTTGCACAATTTGAAAAAGATCAAGAACAAAGGTAAAAATTTTCTTTTTATATTATTATATCGGTTTGAAACAATATCCTAAAAATCAAACCTGAAGCTATTAAATTCTGATACACTAAATCATAAAAAATCAAAATCTCAAAAGTATAATATTCTAAAAACTAAATCTTAAAAAAAAAACCTAAAAGATCATAATTTTGAAAGATTATAATTCTGAAAAATTACAATTCTGAAAGATTATAATACCAAAAGTAATAATACTGAAAAGTTATAATCTCAGAGAATAACTATAATCTTTCAAGTCTATAACCTTTTGTGATTATGATATTTTAGTATTATAATTTTTCAGAATTATAATTTTTTAGAATTGTAATTTTTTAGAATTGTAATTTTTCAGAATTATAATCTTTAAAGTTTTTTTTCAAGATTTAATTTCTAGAATATTATATTTTTAGGATTGTGATTTTTAAGAATTTAGTGTATCAAAATTTAGTACCTTCAGGATATTAACCTGAACCTATTAACAGTCAGAGAATATGTCACACCTGTTTATATATTTTTTTTTTGGTATTAAGGTGAGGTCTTGCCTCGTATCTTT